AGCAAAAGATTCTGTATGGATGATAATTGATTAAATAATGAGATTATCCTATAATTATTTTAGGATATAATTGATTGAAAATTATGTGATTGGCTAGGCAATTAGGATAGAATCTCCTAAATTAGTTAGGATAATCTTTGAAGATAAATATGATTTATCTATTTTTAATATTAAAATAAGATTTGATTCTATATCATACCTAAATTAGAAAATATGATGTTTTATAATTGGCCATGAATAATATATGATATTATCTAATCGCGGTAACTTAATTAAAATATAAGATATTAAGATGTCATGTTTTCTTAAATATAAACATTCAATGTTGTAGTTTAGGAAAACATGATGAGTGATTTATTATATGTCATTTTATAATACATGATGTTATTTATTGCTATATCTAAACTAGTATGGCCCATGGATTCTAAATACGATCTGCGTCGTGACAGATTTTTGTAATCTAAATACGGTTTGCGTACTGTTAAGTATTTTTGTAATTTATTTTATTTTATTTTATTTTATTTTATTTAGTAGTAGATAGAATAGAATAATATTACAAGTTGCAATTAATCTAAGATGCTAATGGAGTGAAGGCCCAAAGGAGTAAGATGGATAAGATCCATAAAGGTTCAAGTGGGAGCTTTTTGCTTTATTAGTTTTATTAGGATTAAGGGGCCATACTATGTCATGTTTTAATTTATGCATTAGTAGATTATGCATGTTATATTTTATTGATGCTTGTTATGATGCGCAAGAGTTCACTAAAATAATCACAACATAATAAATCTAGGTCCCGGTAATATTGAGATTAATTTTCCAATTAGATACCCAACAATCCTTCGATCGTGAGTGATGGATCAGCTTCAGCAGAGTGTCACTTGTTATCTTAGGAAAATTTGGGTAGATCACGTTCTACACATTTAATTGGTTATGCTCAACAAGGTTACCTAAAGAGTTTAGAACCTTGAAAAAAAGGGTAATAATTGAACATGTGATGGTTAATTATTCAACCAAAAGTTACAAAGTGTTGTAGTTAGTAAAGAGTTACAAAGTGTTGTAATTAGTAAAGGGTTTACTCACCTTGAAAATGTAATGCTTGATGGTATGGCCTCCGTCCAGTCAACTATTACATAAATAAAGGATCTTGGAATCATTAAATTCAATTGGGATCAACTAATATTGAATAAAAATGTTTTAAAGTTACCTATTTAATATGCTTATGGTAATTTAAATTTTATTAAAAATAATTATTGAATTTTGCCTCGTTTTAATTACAACAACACTAATTTGCTAACTAAACTGAAAACAAGGCTCAGCCTCAGAAATTTCATGGAATAGGAAGATGAGCTAAGAAGTGTTCTTAAGAGCCACAAGCTCAAAGATCAATTATATATTCCCATTGAAAGCAAATTCACAGTGGGTTTCACTCCTGATAGGCATGCAAAAGATGTTTCGGTTACAGATCGAGAAAATAAGGAATCTCATGTTGTAGACACCTAAAATGTCTCCCCAAAATAAAACCCGATGATGAACAACCTTTCACCGCCATGATTGGTTGGGTTGATTATATAATATTTGGAGTTCTTAAATCCATGTTTACATTCAATACATTTCATAAACCAATCCATTTCCTAGCACATTTCCCTACGCCATAACTTATTTTCCTCTTTTCGTGTCCACGTCGCAAAACCGAGAGAAACTTATTTTTTGGCCATATAATTTTGATCCAATTATTATTTGGTTGTATAGGCCTTGAAATAATATTTCAAAAAATATATCATAAGCCCAATTTCTATTTAAAACGAAGAAGATATGAGCCAACACTAAACTCGGCCCACAACTGACACCCTTCTACTAAAACGGCCATATCTTAAAGTCTACACATGATTATGACTTGGTTCTAATTGGGTTGGAAAGTAGACTTGATAAGATTTCCAATTATAAATTATATGCCTTATTCCGAGCTAAGGATCAAAAGTTATGATCATTTTAAAAACACGTAAAAAAACTAGAATTGCCGCGCAGCAGCAAAATTACCGCGTCGAGGCAAAATCTGACGTGGCATGGCAGATAGTACCGTGTCATGGCAATCTGACCGTGTCGCAGTACATATACCGTGACACGGTGCTTTTCCGTGTCATTTCCCCCACTCTTCTTTACCGTGACACAGTGTACTATACCATGCCACGGTAGGCACTGCCGCGTCGCGGTGGACACTACCGTGTCACAGTTCATGTCCTGTTTCACGGAATTTTCTAGTGTTTTCTCCGCGTAAAACCTAACGCGTTTTATCCTCAGTTGGTCTGTTTCTGTCCTGCGTCACACCAAATTTCCCCGCGTCACGGGAATCATTGTTGTGTCGTGACATGCCTTTGTCGTGTCACGGCGCATTTTGTCGTGTTGCGACATTATTTTTAGGGTTTTTATCTTTTTAGGGTTCTCTGTGTTCCTTCTACTCATTTTCCCTATTAATATCCCCCTCTTTTCTACAGTTCGGGGCATTGAATCTTTCTCTCTTCCTCTCTTTTACACCAAAAAAATTCTCTTCTCTCTCTTTCTCTTATATTCTAATCTTTAAACCTATATTTCTAATTACACCATTCTTCCATTAAGCACTCCAAGGAGTTCATACTCGACCTGAGGTTTCGTCCTTAAACCAAGGTGTGAAAGGTACAAATAACTGAGGGTTTGAACCAAATCAACTCTACATTTATTTAATTTAATTTCCATTTGATTTATATTTTTTTATTAATGTTACTAACGATTTATTCATGATGTAGCAATTAAAAGGAACGCGTTGAATGTGAGTAATTAATTAATTTAATTACTTATTTTATTGCTAGTATTATGATTAGGTTAATTTATATTAGATTTAACTAACGTTATTATTGTTAAATTGCTTCCAATATTAATGTTTATTCTATTATTATTTATGATCACCATATTGCATGTTTAAAGGGAATATGTTATTGAAAATCATGCCTAGTAAGATAATTTGGAAAACCGTTTTAGGATCTTTTTTAATCTTGTTATTAAATCAAGTGATCACTAATATTTTAGAATTATATGTTGCATTAATATTCAACCAATTTAGCATAATAATAGTTTGGAGCAAATTGAATATTTTGTTTGCATGCCTTTGAGATCGCAGGAATCACTTCTCACTATAAGAATCAAATAGAGGCCAATACGGGCGAATGTGACTCCATGACTCACTTCATACCATCATCTCCGATCCTCATTTCGTGGTTCCGAACCATATGGAGTTAGTAATCTCATGGATTATGAATGGGATGTAACCTTCACGGGTCAATCGTTGTTGCCTGTCATTGTCCCTTTATTCGTGGTTGCCTTTTATGATCCGTGAACGATTTACAAGTTCCTTAAAAACTTGTTGGCGACTCCCTAGTTTACTTTGTCCCTAATCATTGTCCCTAATAGTAATGTCAATTCTCACTTCCAATGAGTGCCAATCATATTCACATATGCTTTAATGTAGGCGCACTTCAAACGACGCCTATAATTTGGCGACTCCACTAGAGAGGATTCTTTGTTATTTATTGATTTGATTGATTGGTATTTAATTAAGAGGAGTGGATGAGACTTGAGAGATTCTTGAAAAGTATTCTTGTGATTAATTTGGCATTTTTTCATATGCATAGACATTTTAACGTCGTACCTCAGGTCTGTCCCATAGGAAAAATTTGATAACTTGGTCGTGAACGAAGAAAACAGAGGCACTAATTCGATTTCCTGACTGCTGCACCACGGCAGAGCTTGCCGTGTCACGGCGCTGGGCATCGTCACGCGGTGTTTGGCAATGTGACACGGTACAATATGTCGTGTCGTGGCAGACCTGAAATCTTTCCATTGGCTTTATTTCTCTTCTCACAATCAGCTTCCTTCGATTCTTTGGGAAAAAACGTGTGTGTTCTACATACGTCTTAGCCCCGGGGGATTTAAGCTCTATCAACTAAAAAACGCTCATGGCAATAAGGGTTCATCTGAGTTTTTAAATACACTCAAACCATGGAGTCGAGTTCGATTTCATCACGAACTCGCGGAGCCACCCGTTGGTATACACCCTCGAGGGAGGCTGCTTTGCTAACGCGTCCAAACTCTTAACCATGGTACCCTTTTGACACCAAATAAAACCTGACTATAGTGGAACATAGAACTGGACCTTAGGTTGCGAACTATTCTTTGCATCATTGTGCCTACGTGTCCTATGTGTGTATATTTGATCGTTTTGATCCTAACCTTAACAATCTTTCTTTGTCTATGGTGGATTATTTTATGACTAAAAATTGCTAATGGACCGGACTAACTTAGCAATTAGCGCAAACTCTAAAATTGACAAAAAAAAAAATGGTAAAATCACATAAAAACCTAGAACGGATTAATGCCACGGAAAAAAACGCCGCGTCATGGCAATCAGTACCGTGTCACGGCGTCCTGTACCGCGCCACAGTGCAGGTTTGCCGTGTCACGACAGTTGTGCCGTTACACGGTGCCCAAGTTTAACTCCAGTCAGCCCATATTTTGGTCTTCCGTGCATATTTGGTCCGCGTGTTAGTCATTTTGGTTATTGTTCACATGTCTAGCCATATGATCATACCACTAGTCTTATAACATTACTTAATCACTCACGAGTATATATTAGTCCACACAATTTATTTATTTTTTCGACTCGAGTCGTGCACCATGTCGTTTATGATCGTATACTAGGTTCATGCACCCACGTTTCCATCATAATAAAAGATGAGTGGAGTTTTTCTCACCTGTTTTCAAATGTCTTTTCTTTTTCCTTTCCTTGCCTATCTTGAGCAATGAGTCAAACAATTAAGTGAATTTATTCAATTCACAACACTTGGTCAAGAAGCGGTGTAGATTGTTACGGTTCAAGTCACTACGACAATAACCTCTTATATCTAAGAGGCGTTCAAGAAAAACACCACAATCATCTCCACAAAGTCCATCTCCAGTTTACTTTACAACCAATGGCTTCTAAGGAGGATATTGAGAACATTAACAAGTCAATCAAGAGATTGTCTACCATGATGCAAGCACTCACTACCAGAGTCAACGTAGGTTAGCAAAACAATCAAAACAATGTCACTGTGGCTGCAATGGACAAGATCAAGGAACAAATGAGCAAGATTTCTGAAGAATTCTGAGGATTTCACTTATGTGGAACAGCCTCCCACTCCTTTGGATGTGATAGACAGGCTCCCTGAAAAGTTCTCCACTGCTGATATTCTAAAGTTCAAGCCTACTGATAATCCAATATTCCATTTGAAGGCGTTCTCTGCAACCATGGCTCTCAAGGGACTGGACGTAACACTCTTCTCTACGGTGTTCCCTCTCTCCTTAGAGAATGCTTGCCAACAATGGTTTTATTCCCTAGATGCCAAGCGTACTGTGACTTGGCAAGATGTCACCGACAGTTTCATGAATCGTTACAAGTGTAGCATTCAAACTAAAACTTCTGAACGTGAACTCTCCATTCTCAAATAGAAAGAGAATGAAGGCTTCACCTCTTATCTGAATAGGTGGAGGGAAACAGCTTCACTCTTGGTAGATCCTCCCAAATAAAGAGAGATGGTTTGCCTCTTTATTTAAAATCTGACTAACAAACATAAGGAACATCTCAAATTTCTTCCACTAAACACTTTCGAAGCTGTATACGACATCGAAATCAATATTGAGGATGAACTAATAAAGATTGTTGGTAGTAACAATAATAACTTGGAAAAACAAGAAGAACGACCATCCTTCTTCTTCGTATTCTAAGCACGAAAATACCACCAACAATATAAGCCAAGTTGATCTCAATGAAGTGTTAGCTCTTGATGCTCCATTGCCCAAGATAAGGAGAACTTACACTCCTTTAGGAATGACTTATGATGAGGCCTTTGATCGCCTTTACGGTCAAGGCTTGATCACAACTATTGGGCCATTTCCAGAGCCAAAACCTGAAGAAAGGAGCGCCAACTGGAATCCCAATGCCCATTGCAATTACCATCAAGGAAGGGGACACACTACCGAGCAATGCTGGAATTTGAAGGACGTCATTCAAGAATTGGTGGATGCAAACAAACTTCCTGTCCCTCCAGGCGGCAAGAAGTAATGAACACAAGGCGCACAGCAAAACCTTCGTGCAAGATTCCATGATTTCTTTTTTCATCTCCATTCCCCAATTCATGTCTAGCATATAGGTTTTCCATTTCAAATTTCTATATGTTTCATGTGTTTCGTTCACTGTTTTCATTAATAAAATGAGCACATTTCCTTTACATTTCGATTATAGCATTTTTCATTCACTCATTCAAAAAAAAATATCAATTACCGAACTAAACAAGGTAAACCAATGACTTGAGGCACATTTGTAACCTTGTCATTCCCTATTAACCATTCAATCGCATATCCATTTCTTCGTCAACCACTTTGAGCCTCGTCCAACGATTGACCTTATTATTTATTCACTAGTAGAATAAATATGATGGTAAGCCATAATAGGCAAGCGGTTTACAAAATCCGCTTCCCATTTAAGTAAAAAAAAAAGAGAGAGAAGTGAATTGGCAAGCGGTTTTGGCGCAAACCGCTTGCCTTTTAACTAATGGCCAGCGGTTTGGCCTTGAACCGCTTACCATTAGTTAAATTAGCAAGCGGTTCAAGGCCGAACCGCTTACCATTTAAAAAAAAAAAAGCGGGATACCCTCTCTTCTCCTCCCTGAAATTTCATCACTTCACTTCTTCTCACTTCACTCCTCCTCTCTGTCTCCCACCTTCACTCCTCCTCTCTTTCTCCCTCGTCCTCACCTCTCTTCTCACTTCTTCAGATTCCGGCCACCACCACCACCACTCCATTCATATACTTTTTTTATTTATTTTTGTTATTTGGCTATCTAATTGCGAATTGAAGCTGCGTTGTGGGTCGTGGGTGGAGGCTGCTCGAGGCTGCTGGTGGTTGGTCGAGGTTACGGGTGGTTGCTCGAGGTTGCCGGTGTTTTCTGGTGGTGTTCGTGGGTGCACTTGGTGGTGGTGTTCGAGGGTGTTGTCTCTCTCTCTCCCTCCAATTGTCATCCTCAATCTTTGTCTTTCTCACTCTCAAATTAGGGTGAGTTCTTGCTAAATTTTAGTTTCATATGTATTAATTAGTATTAATTGTTTGTTATTCCAAAATTTCAAGTTAGGGTTTCAAGTAGTTAACCCAAGTTTCATATGTATATATATTGTTTGAATTTGAGTAGCTTTAAATGAAATTTATGAATAGAATATATATTAGTTAACATTTTAGTTTGTTAAATGTGGTTAGTAAATTGCAATGTATGAATATAATGGATTGCTATTTATATATGTATATATATGTATATATGTATATATATATATATATGTATATATATATATATATGTATATATATATATACATATATATATATATATATATATGATATGTATATATATATATATATATATATATGTATATATCTGTATATATATATATATATATGTATATATCTGTATATATATATATATACATATATATATATATATGATATGTATATATATATATATATATATATATATATATATATATATGTATATATCTGTATATATATATATATATGTATATATATATATATATGTATATATATATATATGTATATATATATGTATATATATATATGTATATATATATATATATAAGTAAACTTAGTTTGATTGTATGTACGTTAATTTAATTATTAGCCCTATTTAAATGAATGAACTTGTTTATTGTTGAATGTCAAATAAATGCAAATAATAATTGAATGCTTGCATCAGCATTTTCCTAGATACCCGTTCGAGTCTTTCTCAATAGGAGAAAGTCTTGAATAGTCCCCAGTTGGGACTGTTCTTGGACGTTTAATCTCACTTAGGTCAAATATGTAGGAAGAGACGCCTTGTGAGCTGATAAGAAACTGTGGGATTCATATCCACAAATAACGGTGGTGGATTGGGAGAAGTTTGTGGAAAAATCTTCCACTAGGACCGCACTTGTATGTTTTTATTTATCAATATAGTTGGCTACTCAAATTTAGTTTCTTACAATGACTGATACTAACATATATTTCTGAATGTGTAGGAAAAAAGCGAACAAGCTAGAATCAATGCCGGAAAGAAATTGTATAGCCATCATATGGGTTGTAAGACCTTTGCGGAGTCAAGACCAAAGTGGGTCAGAGCGGGTCTATACCCCAAATCCATAATGTCATCAACTGATAAACCACTTTCTTCCACGGTCACAACTTTGGTTAATCGTGCAATTGACTGGTGGTGTGCTATGCATGGGATGGACAAGAAAACCGGCAAGTATGTCATGCAACCGGATAAGAAAGTAGTAGCAGATGCACTTGTAAGCAAATTTTTCTACTTATTAATTATATTTCCTTGTCAAGTAAATTGTACTTAGATCTGATAAATTTTTGTGTTGTTAAAGCTCGAGCATACTTCGGAAGTGATTGAAGGCAAGCTGACTCCAAGCATCGAACATGATCCTTTCACCTTAGCTTTGGGAAAACCATACCACCCTGGGCGAGTAATTGGTTTTGGCGGGAAACAACTAGGGTGGGAGAAGGTGATGGGTTCAGAATACACCAAATCAGCAAAAAGCAGATCAAGTGTTAATTCGCCACATCGGATTGATGAGAAGGAAAAGGAATCAATTAAGGCAGAGATACGCGCGGAGTTGCAAGAACAGATGCAAAATCAATTCAATGCCATTTTGAAGCACATGAACTTTCCGCCTTTGCCATTTCCCTCGAGTACCCCAGTAGACTCATGAAGTCACCCAGGAGGCCCCGAGGACGATCCAGTAGTTGAGAGAGAGGTAATTTTACTACAAGGACGAATTACGTCATATGAAGTTCGTCTAATGAGGTCGTTTGCATGTTTAATTATTTTACTTTTACAGGATCCTAGTCCTATGGATGCAGAGTCACTTAAGAGAGCAAATCCGATGCCTGAACGTTTCCCAAATGTTAAGGTGAACTTCACTACGTAATTAGCTTTTCTTATGTTAGGCTTTCGTTTGTTATTTCATAACTTATGTCCTAACTCCTAATCAAATATGTAGGAAGAGACGCCTTGTGAGCTTCTTCACCTCGGGGAAACACCGGTGGACAGTTGCAGTTGGTGGGGTATGGTAGTGCACAACCTTTTGAAAAGGTCCATTTTAAGTCTAATACTAGCACCCATTACATCTCGGTCGGGATAGATTCTATAGTTGCTGGGTTTGAGGACTTACCACTACCGATGCCTAGAGAGGAATATGATTTTTTTAAGCTGCGTGACGCGACCGGGAGCTTTGTGCAATGGCCACGTGATCGGTTGAGGTTGGTAAGAGGGGTAAGTAAACACTACTTGTATGTAACTACTTGTATGTAACTAGATTAACATGTGCTTTGTGCAATGACCATGTTCTTTTATGCTACTAGATTACTATGGAAATTCAGTCCGCTAAAAGGAAGAAGGTGGAGAAGCCAAAATCCAAGGAAGAAGGTACTCCGAAGATGGAACAAGGACAAGTGTCAAAGAAGAGTTCGAGAGCTTCATGTACTCCACTGGTAGAAGCCAATGTCCTTAGGTCGCTTTCAAAAGCATGTACTTTTCTTCACAATCGTGTTAGTGAGTTGCCTACAGGTACACATATTCAAGTGAACTTGCCTAAGGCATTGTTCCACTATGATGAGGATGCGATCGCATACATTTCTAGAGAGGATGTGACGGAATTTCTAACCGGTTCCATGCTTAAGATTTCCATCATTCAAACTTTCATGAGGTAAATTAACGAGACTATTTCTAAATATATTGTATTTTTGATATTTTCGTACCAAAACAATGCAACTAGTAATTACTTGCACACATTACTTACTTGAAGGTCACTACAGGAGCTCCTTGCTAGTAAACCCGATGGTGAAGCAGCAGTTGGGTGGTTATGCCCCGAGCAGACCTCTGTAACCAAATGCTTGCATAACCCTCGTGATGTGATAGATTACCTTGAGCGGGGTATTAGAGAATCAATGCGTGCGGGAAACAAGTTCATATTAGCCCCTTGCTTTGAGGAGTAAGTTTAAATATGTCACTCTTAATTTGTTTGTTAAGTATAGATGTTGACGCATAACAATTGATGGATTGATATTTGCTTTAATATATATGTAGTATACATTGGAGCCTTATAGTGATTTGTGTTTCCAATAACACAATCTACTACTTTGACTCGGCTCGTATATGGCCACCAAGGAAGTTGCTAGTGAATAACCTATTGAATAGGTACATACCGCTTCCTATATATTATTTTGTATCATCACCTAAGTGATTGAGTGGCTATGTTCCTAAATTGTTTGTTTTTTATTTTTTTGAAGTGTTATGAAGAAGTTGAATTGTCGTTCGGTTGCAGGTCCCACGTGGAAATATTCGAAGGTAAAGCCTTGGTATATTGATTTATTTAATAAAATTGCCTTGAGTTATGGCTATGCATGACTATTTTAACTTTGTGTCATGTTAGTGTGTGCAACAAGACAACGGCGTTGACTGTGCCCTGTACGTGATGAGGTTTATGCATGACATAGTCAATAGGTGCACTGAAGCCCAACACATTGAGGAGGTACTTGTTTTTACTTTTTTTCGGTTCGATTTCGGGTAAAAGCCGTCCTAAAACTAAGTAGAATGCTAATTTTCTATAATTCCAAACATTATAAACCTAAGACTAAATGTAATTAACATGTTATGATAAATAAATAGATCATTAGATAAGAAATGTAGAAATCGGGCAAAGTAGTAGTGAAATAGGCGATTTTGGGTAAAAGTTGTCCTAAAACTTAGTAGAATGCTAATTTGCTATGATTTCAAACATTAGACACCTAAAACTAGTTATAATTGACATGTTATGATAAAGAAATAGCTCATTAGATAAGAAATGTAGAAATCGGGCAAAGTAGTAGTGAAATAGGCGATTTTGGGTAAAAGCCGTCCTAAAACTTAGTATAATGCTAATTTGCTATGATTTCAAACATTAGACACCTAAGACTAGTTGTAATTGACATGTTATTATAGAGAAATAGCTCATTAGATAATAAATGTAGAAATCGGGCAAAGTAGAAGTCAAATAGGCGATTTTGGGTATAAGCCGTCCAAATACTTAGTAAAACCTTCTTCTAATGCGATTACAGACCTTAGACACCCAGGACTAGTTAATATGGGTCTGCTCTAAGGACAAATTAGGTCATTTGATACAAAATGCAGAAAATGGGAAAGTGAGCACCCGAGGCAACTACAGCACCCGAGGCAACAACCTCGGGTTATGCCAGGCAGCTGCAAGCAGCCACCAGGCAACTGCAAGCAGCCACCAGGCAACTGCAACAGCTGCCAGGCAGCCGCAGCAGCAGCTTAGGCAGTTGCACAGGCAGCCGCAGCAGCCACCTGGCAGCTGCAGCAGCCACCAGGTAGCTGCCAAGGCAGCTGCTGCAGCAGCCCAGGCAACTGCAGCAGCCGTTCAAGAAACCGAGCCACTCCAAAAACAATGGGAAGCAGCCCGAGGAGTAATTTATTGGCCTATTCATGGCACCTCATGCTATTTTGTGTAATTTTTGCGTACTTGTTAGTGTATAAGCTAAATAAGTCACTTACGCCGATTTTTGTTAAAAATCGTACTAAAACTTAGTTGGGTGCTCATTTGATGTGATATCATAAATTACATGCCTAAGACTAGGTATTATGGGCTTGGTTTGAGAAAAAAAATTTCAAACGGAAAAAAAATATAATAAATGGGCAAGTAAAAGTGGAATAGGCGATTTTGGGTAAAAGCCGTCTTAAAATAGAGCAAAATGATCTTTTGCTATGATTTAAAACAATGGAAACCTAAGACTATTTAATAATGATAAGTTATGATAAAGAAATAGCTCATTAGATAAGAAATGTAGAAATCAGGCAAAGTAGTAGTGAAATAGGCGATTTTGGGTAAAAGCCGTCCTAAAACTTAGTAGAATTCTAACTTGCTATGATTTCAAACATTAGACACCTAAGACTAGTTATAATTGACATGTTATTATAAAGAAATAGCTCATTAGATAAGAAATGTAGAAATCGGGCAAAGTAGTAGTGAAATAGGCGATTTTGGGTAAAAGCCGTCCTAAAACTTAGTAGAATGCAAACTTGATATGATTTCAAACATTAGACACCTAAGACTAGTTATAATTGACATGTTATGATAAAGAAATAGCTCAATAGATAAGAAATGTAGAAATCGGGCAAAGTAGTAGTGAAATAGGCGATTTTGGATAAAAGTCGTCCTAAAATTTAGTAGAATGCTAACTTGCTATGATTTTAAACATTAGACACCTAATAGTAGTTATAATTGACATGTTATGATAAAGAAATAGCTCATTATATAAGAAATGTAGAAATCGGTCAAAGTAGTAGTGAAATAGGCGATTTTTGGTAAAAGCCATCCTAAAACTTAGTAGAATGCTAACTTGCTATGATTTCAAATATTAGACACCTAAGAATAGTTATAATTGACATGTTATGATAAATAAATAGCTCATTATATTAGAAATTAGAAATCGGGCAAAGTAGTAGTGAAATAGGCGATTTTTGGTAAAAGCCGTCCTAAAACTTAGTAGAATGCTAACTTGCTATGATTTCAAACATTAGACACCTAAGACTAGTTGTAATTGACATGTTATGATAAAGAAATATCTCATTAGATAAGAAAAGTAGAAATCGGGCAAAGTAGTAGTGAAATAGGCGATTTTGGGTAAAAGTCGTCCTAAAACTTAGTAGAATGCTAACTTGCTATGATTTCAAACATTAGACACCTAAGACTAGTTATAATTGACATGTTATGATAAATAAATAGCTCATTATATAAGAAATGTAGAAATCGGGCAAAGTAGTAGTGAAATAGGCGATTTTGGGTAAAAGTCGTCCTAAAACTTAGTAGAATGCTAATTTGCTATGATTTCAAACATTAGACACCTAAGACTAGTTGTAATTGACATGATATGATAAAGAAATATCTCATTAGATAAGAAATGTAGAAATCGGGCAAAGTAGTAGTGAAATAGGCGATTTCGGGTAAAAGTCGTCCTAAAACTTAGTAGAATGCTAATTTCCTATGATTTCAAACATTAGACACCTAAGACTAGTTATAATTGACATGTTATGATAAAGAAATATTTCATTAGATAAGAAATGTAGAAATCGGGCAAGTTAGAAGTCAAATAGGCGATTTTTGGTAAAAGCCGTCCTAAAACTTAGTAGAATGCTAAATCGGGCAAGTTAGAATGATGTTTGAAATATTTAACATATATAAATTATTATTTTTTAATTATTAGTTTGAATTTTATGTAATATATGAATGATGTTTAATGTTTGGTATTTTTTTCTTTCCAAAGGTTTGTAAGATTCAAAGGGAAGGCCCTTTGACAAAGGTAGAAGTTGATGAAATTCGCGACATGTGGGCTTTTTTTCTGACATTTGATGGCATCTAGGTAGAATATATAATATATATGTGTTAGTTAGATAATGAATGAGATTGAGTTTTTTTTTTATGAACAATTATTAATATTTAGTTACTATATCTTTTTTATTTTTATTAAATCCATATGTACATTATATTATTTATTTGTAATTAGTACTATATATTATTTATGAGTTTTATATATATTATTATTATTATTATGCATTTTATTTTTATTGAATTATTATTATTCCAAAATTTGTAATATTTTTAATTAATTTTTATTAATTATTAATATTAATTAATAATAATATTAATAATAA